ACTCCCCTCGGCCTCAGACGAGCCGCGCGCGCTCCTGGCTGCAGCCCTCCCGGCCCTCGCCCCACGTACTTCTTCAGGCAGTGCGCTGCCGTGAGCACCCACTTGGGGTGGACCAGGACGCCCCCGCACAGCAGCCGCTCCTGCACCAGCAGGGCAGCCTGCCAGGGCTGGGAGTGGGGGCGGCAGGGGTAGCCGCCTGGGAGGAACCCGCTGGTCCCGTTGGTGCCATTGATGATCTTGGGGTGGTCCCTGGAGACACCTGGTGGAGAAGGGAACATGTCAGAACCCAGGTGTGCGCTGCGGCTTCTAGGCTTGGCGCAAGGCTCAGAATTTTGCTCTGGGCGCCCAGGACCCTGGACCTTCCTGCGGGAGTGCGACAGCCTGGCCGGGAGGTGCCCAGGACCCCCTGGGCGGGCTGGAGAGTGGAGTGGGGAGTGAGGCTGCTGCTGCTGCTCATAGGTAGGCAAAGCGCAGCCCCCACCTGCACCCCGGTGGGCTTGAGGAGGGGCTGTGCAGCAGCCAGCCTGAGGCTGTGCCCACCCTTCACCACACATCGCTGGGGGGCGCTGTGCGTCTAACACCTCCAGCCCTCAGCTCCCCGTAACCCCAACCCAGTCAGGGTCAAGTGAGCGTTCTATGTGCATCCTGGCTTCATTTCCTCAGCAAACCCGCGCTCCCATCATTCCCGCCTGCCTGCGCCACCCCAAACCTAGGATTTGCCTGAGTCCTTGTGGATCACAGCAGCCAGCAGTGCGGTTTCCTGCCCCAGAGCGTCGTGCCCAGCGCCGACCTGTGCACCTCTCGGCCCTCACCCCCAGCCCAGACCTGTGCCACCTTGTTCCCAGGCCCTTCTCCAGCGCGCATGACGGCAGCAGCTTCCTGAAAGCCGCAATCCGTCCATCCACACGTCATTCTCAGATTCCCTGAGAACCTGAGTGAACACCAGGTCGCCTCCCGGGCTGGGCTTTTCTTGAAACCCCGAGCCTCGCCGGCTCGCCGGCTCAGGCGCCTGCCCCTGTTGGGCCCCTCTGCACCCTCCGCCCAGCCTCTGGACCGCTCCAGACGAGCCGGGCCCTCCCAGCGCCCTTCCCCCTCTCTGGACAGTTCTCTAGTCCTGACCACTCAAGATGGAGCCTGTGGCTGCTCGGACTCACAGTAGTTGAAAGGAACTTACCAGAACTCAGTTCTCCCGTGGCACGAGTCAAACTTTAAATGCTCAGCAGCCCCAGTGCCAGCGGCCAGCATGCAGGCCAGCACCGGTGTCGGGGTGCAGCCCTATGAGCCTCATCCCGGGGCGCTGCACCTCACTGCCTGCGGAACCCTGCTCCAGCTCGCCCCTCAGCGTAAGCACACCCCCAGGGGCGCTGGCTGGCGTGGGCGCCCGGACCCGTGGAGGTGGGATGCTGTGGGGGCACCGCAGCCACCTGCAGGCACTGCTGGGGGGGCGACGGGCAGACTGTGCCGTGGCCCCTCTCCCTGCCTGTCTGGGCTGGGCGGCGCCCCGGGGGGGGACGGTGGGTTCCTGCTGTTAATGTGCTAGGCGGAATCCAACAAGGGGCGGAGCCTCCGGCCTCTGGGGCCCGCGGTCAGGACTGGGTGGCCGCTGCCACGGCCACGTCGGGCGCCCACCTCACAGGCTGCCCAGACGGCTGCCCAGCGGGGGCGGCCTTGCCACGGAGCTCCGCTGGACTCCACGAAGCCGTCGCCTGTGCACTGCTGGGACTCACTGTTACCTGGGCGTGGGGGTAACTGCCTGAAGGATGCCTGCACCCTCCCCCGCAGCCCCCGCAGGGTCTGCTGCTGCTTGCAGGCGCCGCACAGGCCTAGCACAGCCGCTGCCAGCCGGGAGGGGCGGGGGTGGGCGAGTGGGGGGC